TACACATGTACGCTCTCTTTTTCCCAACATACACAAGCACATACACACACACTCCTGAACTCATGGGAATTGATGTAAGTGCCATCAGCTGCAGAATCCTACGTACTCAAGCTTTTATTCTATAGCTGTAAAACACTCATATAATAATACAACTACTTTTGGAACTTCATTAGCGTAACAACTTGCATTTTTATTTGGAAGAATGCTTGAAACAACTTTCTAGAAACAATAGCCTAAGTGCTGTAAAAGTCCTCTCTCCTTTTTCCTCCTTTCACATATATACTAAATAAAATGTAGTTACTTCAGCAGATTCCAGAGGATATTAGAAGAGAAGCATCTTTTACTGACTACGAATCTGAATATTTTATATATCTCATAATGGACCTGTGAACTGAAAAGGGCTAGTTTAGAAATTACAGTTAAGATGGAATATGTTTAGAGCAGAAAATCACAAGCTTCATTGGGTCCAAACAAGCTCCCTGTGCTCTGGAGCTGCACTTCTGAGTAGCATTTGTTAAGCCTACAGTACAGAGCAAGGAGACCTGTTCAAATGATTCACTACTATTGTGCAAGCCCAAACAATCACCCATCCCCAAGTGTATATTTACATTTCTGTTTACACATCAGTAGCCTGGCAATATCGGAAAGAACAAATACTTAAGGTAGGCAATGAATCATACAGTTTTGGTTTGCTATGACTACTGGAAAAAATGTGAAATGTGAGAACTTCATTGATACAATCTTAATTACAACAAGTTTGATTTCTGCACTTAAAGATGATGTCAGGATTTAATACTAAGTAAAGCCATCCAAACCACTTCGGTAATTACATATGCACAGGGATTACAACTAGTTCACTTATGTTGAATTGGTAGAGGTCAAAGCATTCTGTTGTGGAACACAAAACGTCTTTTTATATGGAATAGAGAATTTTAAAGACTTAAAAACATGGATCTGTATTTTGCGTGAATCATATTAAACAAGGACAATAATTTAATCTCAAAATAAATTCACATTCAGGATTATCTATGGCAAGATAGTGGATGTAATATGAAGAGCACAAAGCACACTAACGTCCTAATTCAGCAAGAGTCACATCTTAATCTCTTTGTTGGGAGCTGAAAGACGAGAGTATTGTGAAAATCACCAGCTTTGCAGCCTTCTAACATTGACTAATCCACTCTCTTCTACTCACTAACCGGAAAACACTACAACAAAGACTTTAAGAAGTGCTCAACGTGTTTCAACACAGCCATACAACCAATCAGCCCTTTATCCTCCATATCCACAGCTGATGTTGTTCAGAAAACCCATGGATTTCGAGACAGCAGAATTTCCTAATATTCCTGGAACATAGACTCAGATCTACCCAATGCTTCTTTTGTACTTTATTATGGATTGCTTTGTCATTTCCCAATATTTGCTACAAATTGCAGAACATCTTGCCAATTATACAATATATAATGACATACCTAAAAGCATTCCTTGCCTATCTCAGAACACCCACATTCTGTAAGAATGCAGAACGCTGAAAAACATGTGATACCAATTTCAATCCCATTCATGAACCAGGTTTGAGAAAGTATTTGGTGAACATCAGATGTGTATAGAACTTCCACCTGCCTTAGCACAGGCGCTGCCAGGTAATTCCCGTATTTGCTGTTAATAACCCTGTATTCTTCATAGCTGGTGTAAAAGACTTTTAGGCAGCACTTGTGTTTAGGAACAGCTCCACAGGGTATGTGACTATACGTATCTTAACAGCTGTCCCTTTTTTGTTAGGGGTGAGGTAACATGGGAGAGCATGAAAAAGAAGACAGAAACAGATGTTTGCATCAGCTCTGAAGCTAACTTTCTGCTCTCTGCGGGAGTTTTCCCAGAGGTCTTGGGATGTTGTGGATGCACAGCTGCAATTCAGAGCACGGAGATGCTACAATGACCTTGCGAACTGCAGTAAAAGTTAGAGACATCTTAGTCACTCTGAAATGATTTCTCTGTAAGATGCATCAGGTACAATGAGCTCTGTGCCATTTCCAGTACAAAATAAGCAAGCATTATATTCATCTGAAGTAGATAAATTTATATGAATCACAGACATGA